CAGTGTACACTTCTCATTTTTGTGTACAATGCAAGAAATACACAAAGAAATGAATAAGTGGTTATGTGTATAAATGTTAGATATTATGTTCAATATATCAACTGAGTGTCCAGATGAGCTAGTATAAGAGTTGTGTCTTCGAGATGACAATGTCCATAGCAGCTTTAAAGAAAGGTTAGAAACTAAAAACTGTGATGACCAGAGCAACAGCAATGACTACAGTTCTGGAACACTCCCCATGTGCTGGGCATTACTCCAAATGCTTTACATGTTCTAATTCAAATAACAACATAATAGATAGATAGAGAGATTTTTTTCCCATGTTACTACGAGACAACTATGTCACAGAAAATGCTAAAAAGTCACCTAGGTCAACAACCTAAAAATGGCAGAGCAGGCATCTGAACCCAGATGTCTGAGAATGAGTCTTGAATCAAAAGAAACAAACAGTTAAATTATGGTGACGGTAGGTCCTAGTCTCTCTGTGCTGCTGTACCGAGTAAAACGGACTGGGTAATTTATGAATAATAGAAATGTATTTCTCATGATTCTGCTGGCTGGGATATCCAAGATCAAGGTGCCAGCAGGACTGATGTCTGGTGAGGGATGATCCCTGCTTCCAAGATGATCTTGTTGCTTCGTAGGGGACGAATGCTGTGTCCCCCACATGACAGAAGGGACAGAAGGGCCAAAAAGTAGTGAACTCCGTAGAATAAGCCTTTTGATACATCATTGACGAGAACACCATACCCACTGATAAAGGCCGACTTCTAGTGACCCAATCTCCTCCTAACGGCCATGCCTCATAATATTTAAAGATTGGGCACTGGGGATTAAGTTTCAACATGAATTGCAGAGGAGGAAAAAAAAAAACTCAGACCATAGCATTCCATCCCTGGCACCCAAAATTGATGTACTTCTCACAGACAAAATACATTCTATCCCAATGGCTCCCAAAGCCTTATTTCTACAACCAATTCAAAAGCCTATAGTCTAGAGTTGTACCTAACTATGATCTAAATCAGATATGGGTGAGACTCAAACGTGCATTTCATCCGAAGGCAAACTGCTCTCTAGTTGTGAACCTATGAAATCAAACGAGTTATGTGCTTCCAAAATACAATGGTGGGGCAGACACAGGTTAGATATTTCAATTCCAAAAGAGAGAAACAGGAAACAAGGGGTAGCTGTTCCCATGTGAGGCTGAAACCCAACAGGGCACATACATTAAATACTAAGGCTTGACAATAATCTCTGACTCCATGTCCCACCTTCCAGACATCCTGGAGTAGAGGTTGGGTTCCAACATCCTGGGGATCCCTGTCTCACTGGTTTTGTTGGGATCACCCCACATGGACGTTCTCACAGCGCCTGCAGCTCTCCTGAGCTGGAATCACATACCGGTGACTCTACAGTTTTGGGGTCTCATCGGTGGCCCTGCTCCCAGGGCTTTACTGGACCTTATCCTAACAGGGAGTCTGAAGTTGGCCCTGCCTCCACAGCTAGAACTGAGCATTGCCCTAGTAGGGACTTCCAGGGACAGCCTCACTGCTACGGCATTTCTATGCCTAGGCTCCAAGGATCTCTGAGGCATTCTTTGAAATCTAGATGGAAGTAGCCATGAGTCCACATCTCATGCCCTCTGCACACTTTTAGTTACCACTGTGTTCATGTTGCCAAGGTTTACAGTTTGTGTGTTGTAACCGACCTCGATCCCTGGTGGACTGAACAAAAGGGGCAAACATGGGAACAAAAGACAAAGACAAAAGAGTATATTTGGAAGAAGGGGTCGGGGGCACCTTGCCTCTAGTGGACAAAGGCCCTAAGCTTTTTCAGCCCTCCAAAGTTATTAGGTCAAAGAGATAACCAAAAGGGGCGGTGATTGTCGGTAACTGTCAGTCAGTCCTTTGGATCACAGCAGGCTTGCAAGACTGCATCATTCGACCAATAAGCACTAGATTTCCCAGAGATAACTTCAAGGAGCCCAGCGCCAGGGAGTGATGGCCCTCAGCAAACTTGGTGGTAGGCGCAGTCGTGAGTTTGCTCACATCCTGCATTCATGATAAACAGTTTGCTGTTTGATCATATAGCCTCCAGTGGAATGCTGAGTTGATCACGATCCCTTTGGCCTTTTTGGCTCCCAACAGTGTGTGCCCTCTGGAGTGGTGGCTGGTCTGCACCTGGTCCCACGTCAGCCACAGATGGGGTAGCTAAGGACCTCTGCTCTGAAATACAGAGATCACAGATCTGAGGTATCAGAGTTCCCATGTCCAAAGGGCACCCCGGGCCACTCCCTTGAAACTATTCTGCCCTCAAGGCCCTGGCACTCTGAACCTACAATGGGCACAGCAGTCTCAAAGATCTCTAAAATGCCTTTGGGATGATTCTCTCATTGTCTCAATAATCAGGTCCTGGCTTACTCCTATCCATACTAATCTCCTTGTCCAAGGCCACTTGGCTACACCCCTCTTGGTTTTCTCTCCTAAATACACTTTTAATTCTTTACATGGCCAGGCTGAGAATTTTCCAAATCTTTACATTGGGCTTTGAAAACAAATTGTTTTTAATTCATTTTTCTCTCCTCCCGTTTTCCTATAAACAGTTCAGAGAAGCCATGCAGCAACCTGAACAATTTGCTTCGAGAGTGTTTCTGCCAAACATCTTAGTTCATTACTCTTAAATTCTGCTTTCCACAGCCCGGGTGCAGTGGTTCACTCCTGTAATCCCAGCACTTTGGGAGGCTGAGG